CCCAGAAACAATAATGCACATTTTGTTTTTTGTTTTGTTTTTTTTACCTAAAACACACTGACACTAACTGACACTTTTTTCTTTAAATCCTGACTTTTGACCTGACCTTTTGACCTTGACCTTTGACCTAAACACTTACCCTGGCACTGAACTAGGATTAAACCGTGATCTAGGTATTTTTTCTTTATTTTTTAATTTTATTTTTTAATATTTATCTTTATTTCTACAAACATTCTTTTCCCCTCTATGCCAGGAGTTAGAGAGGTACAATGTATCTCTCTCCTCCATTCATAGAGAGAAAAAAAAACACAAGGGGGCCAATCGGGGCCAATCAGAGGCTATCACAGCGATCATGTGACCCGGAATCGTGAGTTCCAGGTCCTGATTGTTACAATGGGACCCGGGGCTCTCACTGACACCGCAGTCTTTGTGCTGGGATCATGCTGTGTGGCGATCTCCCAGCAGAAAGTCAGGTACGCAAATATGCGGCCCCACGAAAAAAGCCCAGTTCTGTGAGGCCGCATATTTGTGTGATGTTGATGTCAAGGGGTTAAGGAGGGGCAAAAGGTGAAGCTGCTCTGGGCTCTTTCATTGTTGTGGGACCCAAACAGCTGCCCCATACTTGCCAACTGTCCCAGTTTACATTCCCTTGTCCCTTGTAGTCTTCGTCCCCCACAATGTCCAGATATCTAAGTGTGTAGTGCTGTCATTTATTCTGACCTGCTCTGCCCATTGCCATGACTCACATGCAGACCATGTCAGCATTCACATGTAAATAACTGGCATTCATAAGTAAATACAGGTGGTTTGGCCCCAGTAATATGTAAATAGCGGTGGCATTCATAAGTAAATACCTGAGGAATTCATATGTATAATATGCCCCTCTGAGGTTCTAGCCACCATTACATCTGCTGAATGCTGCCAAAGGGGTGGTAAATGGGCATGCTTGAACGTCCTACCTGCAACTGTGGTCACTGAGCCTACCATCAGCCTGTTCTGCAAAGGTAAGCAAAGTAATTACAGTCTGGGGTGCACAGGTGAGCAAGGAGGGGACATACAAAGGTAAGGAAGTTTAGTGCAAAGGTGAGCAGAGGAGGCATGTGGAGTAAATCACCACTGTCATTGATCCCATCCCCCAACCACTACCACTCCACTGATCCCATCAACTTCCCAGCGCTGCCACTGATCACCCCCCAGCACTGCCACTAATTCCTGGAGTCCTAGAACTCTTAGGAGTTTTCTGTCTATTAGTGGGTCCCCTTAACTTCCCAGTCCATGGTGTGCAGGCAGTAAGGAGATGATGTGCAGTAACCTTCAGCAACTAATCAGTGAGCTATAACTTCTAGCAATCAATAAGTGGTAATGATGCACAGTAACCAATAGCAACCAATCAGTGAGCAATAATTACGTGCAGTAATATAGTCAATTGATTTTCATGAGCAGCCAACAATACTACAATCTATTATCTTATACAGTGAGTATAACTCAATAACTACAATCCAGAAAGCAGCTTACACTTACTCAGAACGTGCATAATCCAAATAAACATACTGTACAGTGCAGCACTTCCTTTAAAATCCCAAAACATATGTGAATGCAAACAATTATATTGTTATATTTATAGTTGCAAAGTCTCTTAATAGTGTTTGTTCAACTTCAAAAAATACTCCATAGCTCTATATCTTCATAAAACTGAATCCACCACCACAAACATCAGATGTGCCCTCACCTGGAGTTTTTGACCTCACATATAGTAAGGTCAAAAAATGCATGTGTCTCTTGAAGTGGACATATACTAGTGGGTATATATTGTGCATAGAATCTTCCTCCAATGGTAACCAGTCCCTTTAATTTTTCCTCCTCCACTTAGCACACATGTTAGAAAAGATGAGTAAAAACACAATAGTGCTTTATCCTTTAAACACAATTGCTTTATTAACCAGTTCCCGCCCAGCCAATAGCACAAAGGCGGCCAGGGCGAGCAGCTCATCCCTCCAGGTGGATGCCATATGGCGTCCTTTCAGGCATGCGCAGTTTGCCTGCCCTCAGGGCCGCTCTGCATAGCGATCTGTCACTGGCCGTGTACCTCAGACACGGCCGATCACAGATCTGTGTACCGCCCCGTTTCCAATACCATGTGACCTGCTGTGACCAATCACAGCAGGTCACACGACAGTTGTATACAATGGATGGCTTCCTTTCATGCCATCCATTGTATACTAGTGTATGTAGCTGTGAATGGTCATAGCGATCACATGCACAAGCTAGGCTAATCAAAGCCCAGCTATGTCATGTGATTAGCCGTGGCCAAATCACAGCTAAGCACAAAAAAAAAAAATAAACCCTGAATGAATCGATGTCATTCAGGTAAATGCTTGCTTATAGCAAAGTAATTCAAACTGTGTAAAAAAAAAAAAAATACTGATTACGTCCCCAAAGTAGTACAATGTTACTATGGTAAAATTATACTACTTTGGTCATAGTGCAAAATGAAAAAAAAAATCTTACAAAAAGAGAACAAAATGTAATAAAACATTTAAACTAAAAAAAAAATGTAAAAAAAAATTTTTTTTTTTTAAATTTAAATTATATATTTTTTCTCGTACTGTCACCAGTCAGTGTCCCTGATCACCGCTATGCCAGTTATATGATGACTCTGTACTGCACTGGTGACAGTATGTAAAAAAAAAAAAAATAGTGAAAATAATTTTTTTTTAATTTTTTAATTTTCCGAAAAATTATGACAAAAAAATTACAACTTCAAAAAACTCGCCATGCCTCTTATGAAATACGTCGGACTGTCTACTTTGCAAAAAGTGGTCATTTGGGGGATATCTGTACTGTTCTGACATTCTTGGACCTCAAGAAATTAGATTGGCCGTCAGTACTTCAGGATTGATCAATATTCAGATATATACCATAGTTTGTGAACTCTATAACTTTCCTACAAACTAAAAAATACATCCTAATTTGGGTTATATTTCACCAAAGACATGTAGTAGAACACATCTTGGCCTAAATTTATGAAGAACAATTATTTATTTGCAGACTTTTATAACAGAAACAAAGAAAATGGGTTTTTTTTTTTCAACATTTTCGGTCTTTTATTGTTAATTTAGCAAAAAATAAAAACCCCAGTGGTGCTTAAATACCACCAAAAGAAAGCTCTAGTTGAGTGAAGAAAATGATAACATTTTAGTTTGGGTACAGTGTTGTATGACCGCACAATTGTCATTCAAAATGTGAGAGTGCTGAAACCTGAAAAATGGCCTGGGCAGCAAGGGGGTAAAAGTGCCCTGTATGGAAGCGGTTAAAAACATAAAAATGGCCAGTTTTTTTTGAAGTTGAAGAAACAACACTATTAAGAGACTTTACAACTAGAATTGTTCAATATTTTTCAATATAATTGTTTGCATTCACATGTGTTTTGGGTTTTTAAAGGAAGTGCAACCAGTGAGTGGTAAGGATGTGCAGTAACCTCTAGCAACCAATGAGTGAGCAGTAATGATGTGCAGTAACCTCTAGCAATCAATCAGTGAGCATTAATGATGTGCAGTAATCTCTAGCAATCAATCAGTAAGCAGAAATCATGTGCTGTAACCTCTAGCAACTAATCAGTGAGCTGTAATGTGAGCTGTGACCTCTACCAACCAGTCAGTGAGCTGTAATGATGTAACCTCTGGCAACCAATTGCTGCCTGATCTGCTAAATAAACTGATTTTGAGTCTAGCTACTATTTATGGTATGTCTCAGAGTAGGTGGAGAACAAAATTGCATGGGGGGCCAAAGAAAATGTTTGCCCAGGGTCCAATCAATATTAAAGACGGCCCTGCCGCCTATCAGTGTCAGTCAGTGTCATTCAAAGTGTGACAGCGCTGAAAGCTGAAAATTGGCCTGGGCAGGAAGGGGATGAAAGTGCCTGGTAGGCAAGTGATTAAAACGGTATGGACCACTCCACGGGGGCAGCACATCCAGAAGTTATCTTGCTATTCTACACAGCCAGAGTAGTTTATATTATTTATGGAAAATTGCAGACTTATGTTACTGGAGCTAATGTAGCATGTGAAGGAGTTATTTGAGTAAAATTACTATCTTAATATTTCTTATAAACAAGACATTTACCTGGTCTGAATGTATTAAAAGGGGATAAAATATGTTCAAGTGGAGTATTCATGGTGTATCTAATAGAACTGGGAGTGAAACCATACTTAACCTTCTGTGTTATAAAGAGAGTGAAATCTGTCAAGAACCATAAAGCAGGCGTAGACAGAAAAAGTGTAGTTAAAATCACACCTTTAACCTCCTGGCGGTATGATTATTTCAGATTTTTGGTGCTGAAAGCGGTACCATTTTTTTGCATGGAAATATGTATTTTTTTTATTGTAGGCTGTAATTTTTAGGAAAAACTCACTGAAATCTGTCCGAACAAGAGTCTAGTAAACATCCCGGGTATGATAAAATTTGAAACACAAAATCATAAATTATAATTTAATAAATAATCATAAAAATAATATAAAAATAATAAAAAATTTAATTCAATAATATAATCAAACCAAAAACACTGAAATGTGAAATAGAGCGCCAAGTTCGCACATTGCTGAGCTCAGTCGCAAAAATCGTTTTCAGTTTCTGATGACGAATTTCCCCACGAATCATTATCACTCAATTTCTGCAAAGTGTGGTTCTGATTTACTATCGCTGTTCTCTAGCTGATCTAAACCGCTTTTGACCTAAAGGGACACTTTTTGGACGCCATGGACATTTCTCAGTTTTCCAGGCAGAAAGAACAGACAAAATGCAGGCAGGGCACAGGACAAAGCACTAGGGACAATATGTATGTGAAATAGGTTGAAACAGCAATGTTTTACTGTGTAAAATGATAAAAAAAAAAAAATGACATTTTTTAAAATTTTTAAATTTCCCGCCGCCGGCGGCGGCGGGCGCCCGTACGTCCCGACGTCACAGGGACAGGACACAGAAGCCGGATGCCGGCATCGGCCGGAGGAGATGGCCGGGGACGCTGCAGGGGACACATCGTGGGGGGGACACAATCGTGGAGCGCAGGGTAAGGTAAGTGAAGAATACATGCTGGAGCAGCGCCGCATGGTATTCCCAGAGTGTAGCTCGGGGTTACCGCTTTTTGGTACTGAAATGTTACCCCGAGCTACACTCGGGAATACCGCCAAGGAGGTTAATGAACTAGCAAAAATAACACAGTTCAGGAACGCAGTCAAAATAGATGCCAGAGTTTGGATGCCACACCGGGTAATCGGATGAGCCAGGGTCAGATAACCAGAAGTCAGCATATTCAGAAGCAAAAATCAGGAACAGAAGAGAAGTCAGTAAGACCGAGTTGTACACAGGAACACAGGCAGGAACACACTGGAGATCACAGACCACACAAGGGAGGAAATGAGCGAAGGTGCTAAAATAGCAAAAAGGGCTGGCTGTAGGCTGAACTAATGAGGCAAGTAATTGTATGCAGGTGAGTCACTGTGGGAGACAATGAGTGGCTGGTAATTAACAGACAGCTGAGCACCTTCTGAGCACTGAAAAAAAAGAGCTGCTCATAAAGTAGCAGGAGGCCAGCCCTGACACTACTCCCTGCTTAATGACCTCTCCCCCTCAGGGGGGCACCAGGCTTGAGAAGAAAACATAAATGGAAAGCACAGAGGAGGGCAGGAGCATGTACTGTATGTCCGAGGATGAGACCCAAGAGTTTCTCAAGACCATAACCCCTCCAGTGAATTAGATACTGTATGCACCCACGAAACCTACAGGAGTCCATGATAGATTGTATCTCATATTCCTCATGGTTGTCAACCTGAACCGGGCAAGGGCATGGTACTGAGGTGGTATAGTGGTTACACACCAAAGGTTTTTAATAAGGAAACATGGAATTCAATGGAACACGCATGTTGGAAAGATGATCTAATGCGTATGCCATTGGGTTAACCCTACAAAGTATGCGGAAAGGCCCAATTTAATGAGGTGCCCATTTTATTCAAGGAACACAGAGTCGGAGGTTACGAGAAGACAGCCAGACCCTCTCTCCAACTTGGTAGGAGGGTGCTGGTAGGTGTCACAGTCAGCATGGAGTTTGTACCTCTCTCTGGAGTGTTACAAGGATTCTTTGATCTGCACCCAAGTGGAACGGAGTTCCAAAAGATGTTTCCCTAATGCAAGAATTCCCTGCGGAATGGATGTATGAGGCAACATGGATGGCTGGAACCCATAGTTCACCATAAACGGAGATAATTGGGAGGCAGCATTGATGGCGTTATTGTGAGCAAACTCCACCCAAGGTAATAGGTCCGATCAGTTGTTATGGTGGCCCGAAATATAGCAATGTAGGAACTGTTCCAAGGCTTGGTAGGCCTGTTCTACGGCCCCATTGGACTGTGGGTCATATGCCGAGGAGAAGGAAAGCTGAATTCCATGTGCACAAAAGGCTTGTCAAAACCTGGACACAAACTGGCTACCCCTGTCTGACAGGATAACTTTAAGTAACCCATGTAACTGACAGACTTCCCGAGCAAATATTGATGCCAGTTCTTTGGACTTAGGCAACTTCTTTAGAGGAATGCAATGTGACATTTTTCGAAAGCTGGTCAACCACCATAAAAATAACTGTATTGCCCTGGGAATTAGGTAAACTCACAATAAAATGATCATTAATAGACAAGTGGGTCCAAGGCCTCTCTCCACTGTGTATGGGTTGTAGATGCCCTACTGGAAGGTGTTGGGGTGTGTTTTATTCTGAGCAGATACGGGACAAGCAGCTACAAAGGCAGTTACATCAGTGCAGATATTAGGCCACCAGGATTGCTGAGACATAGACCATATGAGTTGATTTTTCCTTGGGTGCCTGGCTGCTTTGGGAGAATGGTTGGTCTGGAGCAAAGCAGTGTGGAAATTCTTGTGGACAGCGGTTATGATGTCTTCCCAGGTGGAGAATGGATCTGAGAAGCCCAAATTCTATCACCCAAAGGTGAAGTGAGACTGGTGAGAATAGTGGCCAAAATACGGTCCGGAGGTATTACAGGAGTAGAAACAGACTCCATTTTGGAAGAGGAGGAAAACTGCCACGATAATGCATCTGCATCTCTACTAAATAGATTAAATGTCTTATCTGTGTGATAAGTGAGCTGTTTAGAAATTGTATATTATATATATGCTATTTTTCCCATGACAGTGGAGTTACCCTTTAAGCATTCATGGAGCCTTCCCTACCACTCTAAATGTAATATGTTATAGGTGTGTAATAAATAATGTAACAATGGCATATGCTGCATAGTGAAATTTGGAATTTGAAATTCACTGTTCCAAAACTGTCCAAATTAGAATCCAGTACAACCTTACTTGTTAAAATCCATACCCATGTTGAATCTACCATTTTGATCTTCAAGCACTAAGAATATCTATTAAACTGCCCACAGTTGTGACAGCTATCCACAGTGCTGTAACATGGAAGGAAGGGAGTGCGTCATATGCTTCCCTAACAGCTGGAAATAGCAGGTATTTCTTTTCATTCCCAGTGGCTAATGGAGTGGTAGTCAGATGAAGGGAAAGTATGTTGCTGCGTGAAAGAGAAGTTGCCTGATATTGTTGGTTTTGTACTGACTGACAAAGCACAGGTTTGCCTTAAAAACAAATGCATGCATGTTGATGCATTTTGCATTAAGGCAGCTCAAATGAATGATCTGCCTGATGCACCAGAACACACTTAAAAATGTGCATGTACCATTACTGGCATCCTACCACATGTTAGTGCATTTCCATGAATTGTCCTGCAACATCCATCAGCGAAGTGCGCCAGGGTGCCATTCAGTCACATGAAAGCAAATCAAGTGACATGCATTGCTGCAGATTAACACAATGTAAAATTGTGAATGGGCTCTAAAAAGGTGTCACAATCTGGTCTTCTTTAGGTGTTTCACTACAAGAAATAAGAGACCACAACAAAAAAACAAGTTGCTATTAACAGAACAGCAGCTAAAAGTGACCACTGACCTCAAATCAACTAAAAAATAAAATGAAAGAAAAAAAGGCCCCCAATAATAACATACAAAAAGGCAAATGGGTTGATTGCCCAAAGAGCTAGCAATCAGAAATAAAGTACAGTTTCCTGACTCTAATCCACTACATCTCTCTGGTTTAACCAAAAGTCCCTTATGTGCCCCTTTAAACTTGTTGACTATAGTTCAAAGGCCATGCAGTACATGGTTTAAAAAAATTGCTCCCGGGTGAAGCTGCACATGATTTTGTGGTTCTGCAAATCCCAAGATTTGTCTTGAGTCCATGATAGCAATGAACTAGAACTTCATTCCTAGTTCACAGCCAGTAGGTGGTGCAACCATGTCAGTTCTTCAACACTTCTGCGGAGTCATTTTACCACTTTGTGGTGACTAGATTATTTGTTGACATACAACTGAATGAGGCACACACTCCTCAACCTGCAATCCGAAAGTGAGTATAGACTGCCAGACTATCACTTAAAAATTTCTCAAACAATTTATTATTGAATCGCCCTGTATTAAATGATCATTAAATTTAAGATCTTATACAGGTTAAAGAAAAATATACTATATATGTTTGAAACAGGTGTAAATTAAAGACATGCTTTAAATTAAATTGATCATAACCCATCTTAATTTTACAATAAACTTATCACCACAATCATGAAACTAAATTGTTAAAATAAATAAAAATGCTCTTCTAGGTTTTGTATTACACCAGATGGACCTGAACTAAACTGATGTACTATTAGGAAGCTTTACCACCAGAGGGCTTAAACGACATTTACAGCAGAAACAGCTAAGGCCATCACAGACGGCAGGAAAAACAAAGCTAAATGCACACAAAGCTCATGAATTAGTTCTAACAATATTGTTTGGTCCTTAAGGAATTTCTTATCATAGCTGTCTGTCAAGGACAAAAGCTGATAAGGAGTCTGTAGCAGCTGTCAACTAGAACAATTCAAAAAGGTACTTAAAGAGAACTCAAACAAATGACCAGTTCACTTACTGAAAAAAAAGAACATGATCACATTATTAATGTTACTGAGCTTTATTCAAGGTCTACATTTTCCACTCATTGATGCTCCCCTGTGCAGTGCCCATTGTCCTAACTCTGGGACCATAATAAAGGCTTTGCGTCTTTCTCAAAACCAGTCTCCTTCACCTGCAATGTCTGTAACTGATCTTCTATGAACTCTCAGCTTCTGATTGGATCAGAAGAGTGAAGGGAACTCACAGAATACTGATACAATCTGAAGTGTCCACTTACCTTTGAAGCTGTAGGAATAACATGGGTCATAGGGCTAAATAATAAAACTGATCCTCTTAAAGTATACTGCAACTTTCAAAAAAATGTTGCTTTATTACAAATTGAGTTGGATAGGTTGTTGTTCAGATTAAAGGACTCTAATTTCTAAAGGTGAGGTACTGAAAAGAAACTGGGGCAGAGAGCTATTTGACAGCTGGAAATGGTTTGCTGTTAAAACCATACCTTCCAACTGTCCCTGATTTTGAGGGACTGTCCCTGATTTGGAACAAAGTCCCCCTGTCCCTCTTCCTTCCTCATTTCTCCCTCATTTTGGTCTGATCTATATAGTTGTATATAAAATGCACTATTTATTTATCAAAGTGTTTCCCAGTGCTAAACCTTTCATCCCATTTCTACGTTGTTGCATTTGTATACTATAAAAGCCAGTATAATGGAATAGTAGTAGTTAAGAAAAGTACTTGTGGGTTTAACTAATCTTTTTTTTTGTATATATCTCCTTTAAGGGGGACCGGTGGAGGGTTCCCCTATGCCTAAATACATTTGTTAATAGGTGTCCGTCATTCCCATCTCAAAACAAAAATTTGGTAGGTATGGCAAAAACTCTCACAGGGGGAATCAAGGTCAAATCGCAATCCTGTGATCAATGTTATACATTTGTTTCTAAGATGGGAACTTCCTCAACCAATGGGTTGATAGTCCAAAAGTGTTTTAAAGAATAATTGCATGTTCAGAAAAAGTGCATCTGGTTTGCCTCCCTTTAGGGTGACCTTAGAGATCCCCCCCAGAAATGCATACTTGCCACAATCTAATGCCATGACCTCCAGGTATTGTTTACATCCCACACTGCATGTTCTCTGTTTTCTGGCCACACACGCATAGTAAAGCCCAATGGAAGACTATGGGCCTGTCATCTTGCAGTTCCTGGCTGGAAACAGAGATAGATGGACCTTATGGCCTTCTATGGGGCTCTATGGCACAGGTGTGGCCAGGAAGCAGATGA